TCTCTACTCACAAGATGAAAGGAGCAGTTGAGTCCCCTCAGATTCTGACACTACAAATGAAACTCAAAGATACACAGATTTTTTTTTTTAAATAACACAAAGTAAGCATACTTTTTCTGTTAACTCAAAGTGACATAAATATCAAGTAACTATAAAAACAATGGCCAAGCAAACGGCACATACTGTGAAAAGGGACACGGGTTTTTATAGTTTAAGCACAAAAAGTTAATTTGGCGTTACAGTCTTTAAATGTTGCAAGGAATACATGCGTATACAAAATGAGTCTTGTGGCTAAACTCATTACATAAAATATAACAGAATGTTCACGCCTTTGGCTATGAAGAGACCCTGACAGAGTCCAAAGGCAAATCTGACCACTGTCAATAGCTGGCAGTAAATTTTAACAGCAGGGTTCAAAAAGATTCTGAATCAGAGGCAATTAAGGAACTCTACAAGGAATTTCTGTCCCCACAGGATGGACAGTCAACCATATGCCAAGGGGTTGAGATCTATCTTCTTTACAGGACACAGGGGACACAGCTTTTGGGTCCCCTTGTAAGCTGTACATTTTGAAGCAAGCATGCGACTGCAGCCCTGCAGAAACATTACCACTCCCCCGTCTCACAGGTGGCAAAAGTAAAAGTCATTCTTGTGCCAAATGATGTCTAAAATGTAATTCCTTCTACAACATAAACTGGCTGTTAGACCTCCACAAAGGAAAACATCCACCGCTGTGAACCAGTCACAGGGACAGCCAAAAGCAAGGGAACTCTGGATCCTGGGAGCCAAGAGTCTGAGACAGAACACAGATATTCTCCTCTGAAGAATGAACCACTGCTTTCCTAGCCTCTTATTTCATGAGCAAATAGTTTTCCTGAAGTTTTCTTCATGTCAAGAACATAGCACCTAAAGTATTAATCGCCAAAGTTTCTTAAGAAGGACCCGAATTTAACAGCCAAAACTAAACCACCCCCAAAGAAAAGTGGTAAAGCCGAGATTTTTAGAAAATTAACAATGCTTTCTGTGGGGCTAAGAATCAGGATGAACAGTAAGATGAATGCTAATCGCAAGTTCTTTGGCGATTGAAAAAGTCTACCAAAATAATATTCAAGAATATGAAACTACTGAGTATACACTTTTAAAAGGAGCCAATCCAAGTCTTCCTATTAAGCTTGCAATATTCCCATTACCTCACAGCAAGTGTTTTTGCTACAGTTAAAAATCAAAGACAAATGAGAAAAACAACAATAAAAAAGGGAGCAGGAACAAACTTTGGAAGGTGACAGATGTTTATGGACTTCATGGTGGTGGCGATTTCAAGGACGAATGCTTATTCCCAAGCCCATCAAGATGTACACATAAGGGCTGGGAAAGCAGCTAAGTGGTACAGCAGCCCCCCCCCCCCCCCCCGCTGACGATATATACATTAAATATGCAGAACTTTTTATACGTCAATCATTTTTTTAAAAAGTGATTGAAACAAAAGCAAATGGAAAAACAAGAAATGTGAATTAGCCAGCACCTTGCTTCAAGTTTTGCTATCTAAAATCTAATCATCTTATATATTCTGAATAATGGATCTCATCATTCAGAATGATTAGATGATTCCAATGATTCAGAATGATTCTAAGCTAATCATATATTCTCCAATAATGGATCTCCAATAACTTGAACAGATCTTCAAGTTATTAGTATCTGTAAATAAGAAAGAACATCTTTTGTGATTTCTGCAAATATAGTTATTTCGAAATTTTGGGGGTGTCCATTTCAGTAAGAACTTTCAGATACTGTTAATTCCAAGGCATTAGTAACTGGAAAAGTCTACTGTCCTTTACAGAATTATAAGAAAAAAGCAATGTGGTAATCTGCTAACTATTTCTCTTTGGTAATGCTGAGACCAAGAAGCAGCCTAACTTTAGCCATAATTCTAAATCTATAGTATTTGAATCATATAATTAAAAATCAAAGCTATAAATATTTGAAAAGATATATTATTTCAAAAGATCATTTACATTACATATAGAGCCTCACCCTGTGAGATGATCAAGAGATTCTGGAACATGTAACAAACCTTTGAAGATTTTAGCTGTTTATCATGCTTGACAGGTTAATGCCAAAAAGAAAAAGAAAAACAAATAGTATGGGAAAACAGAGCCCAGCAAAATCTGTTCACAGCCTTCACTTCTATCAGGCATTTATATTTACCATGTACTACAGGCCCCTCAGGGGAAGGCAGGGGGAAGGCATAGGCACCCAACGAGACAGGTCTTCTGCTATCCAGAAAACACTGTTTCTCAAAAAAGAAAAATAAAGTCAGAACCATTAATATAGAAGCTGGAACATTTTCTTCTTTGAGGGGGGAGGGAGCCACAAAATGGGTGGTACAATTCTCCCAAGGTCCCCAGGAGTTCTGATGGGTTAAGAAAATCACTTAAGATACTCTTAAGACAAAGGATTTGCTCCACCTCTTTCCCAAAAGCAATCTTAAACCACTAAAATTGCTTCTGCAGAAAAGTCTTACAACCTGGAAGAAATGGATAAAAATGTGGCAAGCACATTAACCAGTTTCAACAGAGTGAGTGGAAGTTCACAGTTCTGTTGAACAACACTGTAAAACAGATGAAATCGGAACTTAGGATCCTCAACCATTAGGTCAGGTAAGTTCCAAAAACCAAAACTCTTTTCCTCAGATTCTAGAAAGGATCCGAGTTGGAAATGACAGGCTTTCCACAAAGTAAAATACTTCCCAAAGTAAAAAAAGAAGTAACGCCCAAGGCTGGAATTGAAACGCAGAAGGTTCTCGTATATACAGTTCTCTCATTCCTGAGCAACCTGCACACACTATGTTTTCCACAGCCACTAGATGACCCTTTACCATCTGCTGAGTTACACTGCTCTCCTTCCAATTTTGACAAAGGAACCACAAGCCCTTAATATTACTAAGAAACTACAAATTCTACCTTCCAACTGCTAATTATCTTCACCTAGATTTCTCAGTCCATATTCATTTTTAACTTGTCACAGTTTTTATACTATAAATTGATGGCAGGCTATCTGTACATTTTTTTTTTAGCATTTTGATATTTTCCTAGAATAGTGTTGCAAAAATAAAACAACAAAATATAGTTGTTCTGAAGTATCCATAAGGGATTGGTTCCAGAATCCTCTCAGGTAACAAACTCCAAGGATGCTCAAGTCCTTCATATAAAATACCACATAATTTATGCATGTCCTCCCACATAACTTAAATCACCTTTGGATTATCTACAACAACATAATACAATGTAAATGCTACATAGATGTTATATGCATTGTTTAGGGAACAATGACAAGAAAAAAAAGTGTATGAATTCAGTACAGATGCCATATTTTTGACTTTAAGTATTTTCAGTCCCTGGTAGGTTGACTGTGAATGTGGTTAAATCCTTTAATGTAGAACCCACAGATGCAGAAGGCAGACTTCACTGTCCATGTCCATGAATAAAACTTCCCTATGAGGATTCTCCTGCTGACACATTAATTCTATAGAAAAATACAGGCCTGTGAATTAGCACCTTCGGATCTTTATTTATTTATTATTATTTTTTTACTTTATATGTGGTGCTGAGAATCGAACCCAGTGTCTCACACATGCTAGGCAAGCACTCTGTCACTGCACTATGACCCCAGCCCGTGAACTAGCACCTCTGAATTTGGTGGTCTGAACACAGCGGAAAGCCAAAATATTCATCATCAACACTTACATGGTCTGATCTATCATCATCATGATACCACTCAACATGCTGCGGATTGAACCCAAAAAACAGATTAAAAGATTCTTGAAGTGGGAGAAATTTTTCATTTCAAACATTATAAACATACTAGTAATCCACACAGGAAGGATTCTGGGCAGGTTTGCTACCCACAATGATATAGGCAAATCCTACGTCTGTGGACTTTTGAATGAAACTTACTCACACCTACTGAAATGTTGTTATGCGTGGTAAATGTGGCTCAACTATTGGCATTAAATACAGAGTACCAGGCAGAAGGACCTTAAAGCACAGAGCAAATTCTCTGATCCACTCTGGCACTACATTTCATCCATTTCAAAGAACTGATGTAGCAGAAGGTCCCTCCTGGCCATCTAATAAGCAGGCATTAGCCTCCTGGAGGGCGATTCTCTCATACGACTATTATTTCAAGTGCGCACAGTCAGCCCACGCCAAAGACTGTACTCAGGCCCACATGACTCAGAGAACAAGGAAGAGGCCCATGAGGACTCACTCCACTACCTCACCTTTTCCCAAAGGTTTTGTGGTCTGTGCCCCAAGAGTGTGTGGGTCAGAAACAGTACAACAGGCACCACCCACCCACCATCAAGTACCTGCAGACAGTCATCCGGTTTGATTTTAAAGATCCGGTTAACTGCGTTATCTGGGGACAAACTCACACAGCAGGTGGACACAGTGTGGACCCTTGCAGACACGTGCCCCCTTCACATGTCCACCCTGCTGCCAGGGGAGACAGGACCAGCTGGTCGGAACCAGGTGCTGAGAATGCCCGTTCAGCGGCCCAAAGTACATCCCGCCCACAGGACTCCAACTTCCTTTTACATTAGGAGTGTCCTTTTACGAAACATTCAAAACTCAATTTGAGCTTTCTTTAACTAAATACATAAAGCTTGTGAGAATTAGTCCATCCATGACCTTTCTGTACCTTCTACATCACTGAATAGTAAAAAATATGAAGGTATCACTATGGTGTGAACATGAGGTGTCCTCCAAAGGCCCACGTGTTAAAGGCTTGGTCCCGGGTTTAGCACCACTGGGAGGTGGGGGAACCTTTAGGAAGTGAGGCTCAGTGGAAGGGCCTCTGGCCATCGGGAACATGCCCTCAAAGGCGATTATGGGACCCCAGTATCTTCCTCGCTTCTTGGCTCATGATATGAGCAACTCCTCTGATGAGCACTCCCCATCACTGGCACCTCCACTACAGACCTCACTAGAGACCTCACTAGAGACCTCACTAGAGACCCAAAGCAACGGCGACATCTGATCTTGAACTAGAACCTCCAAAATCATGAGCTCAATAAATCTTCACTAAGTTAATTGCCTTAGGTATCTCACTGCAATCACATGAAGCTGGCTAACACGATTATTTGTATTTAGATGTTTCAAATTAAGACCAAAGGCAACGGAGTTTTTTCCAACAGGTACAAGAATGTGTACATTAAAATGGTCAGATGGAGGAAGAGACGGGGAAGAGAAAGAGAAGAAGGGAAGAGAGGGGAGAGGACACAGGCCCTTCTGCCACGGGACCAAGGGATCAGCTCAGGTGTGATGCCAACATTAACGTGGTTGAGCTTAGCTGTACTTCCACTAACTGTATTTGCTACATGAGAACACTTGTCTTCTTTTAACAGATGGGTGCTCTCCGAGAAGAACCAAGGACTAGGGACCATGACATAGTATCCATCAATCAATAAATGTTAGTTAGCTGGTTGGTTGGTGAGGTTCTGTTCAGTCGGAAACACTGCAGGGACTAATTAATTTTTGCAAACAGTCTGAGAAGCTAAAATCAAACCATTAGAAAAAGGCGTCCATATCCTCCCAACAGTAAAATTCGACATTCACACCCCTCTGAACTTCTGAACTACAATTAAACCTCCTAGCCACAACGTTCTAAAACCTGGGTGCCTTGTCTTAAAACTCTGCATTTCACAAGTCACATTTCAACATTTACATGACGTAGGAACTAGAACACTCGGCATCCACCATTAAAACTCAAGGTCACAGGTGAGAACGAATCCCATCCCGAAGGATGAGGGGGCAAAATGGAGAGAAGAAACGAGGAGGAAGGAAAGATTACCATTATGCTTCTTGGACATTTCTGGCAAGTCTGACTGGTGGAACTGAGGTGAGTTTCTTGGCAAAGGATTTTCAGGTAGTTTCTTAGCGGTCTTCAGGGGACAGAGCTCTCGTTCCTTGAGCTCGACTATGTTCTCTGAAGTTTTAATGTCAGTTTCCTTAGGAAACATACATGTCTGTATTCCCTCCTTCAGACTACATTCTGAAGAAGTATTATTGACAACAATTGTGTTTTTCAGTGTGTTTTCCTCTTTATTCAATAAGTTTTTGGGGAGGGTTAAATTCTTCTGCAGGTTGACACTCATGCCATTGGCATAGTTGAGGCTGACCCAGTTCTCACCCATGACATTGGTGCAAATGTCCTCTTTAGCAGCAGACAGGGAGCCTCCCAGGGTCAAAGTCTGTTTCTCCTCAGTAGCAGGGCTGGCACTGCTGGCCAGGGATGCGCTGGTTTTGTGTTTACTGTAGTACACTGAGCACTTATGCTTCTTCTGAGAGTGACCGTAGGTGGCCGGGCTCCTCTTGGCAGCATTCTGGACCCTGTTGGGCGGGGTGCTCACTGGAAGGCAGCTTTTCCCTCTGCCTTTATCAGAAGGGCCGTACGTGTCGAGAAAGTTCTTGCAATTGCTTCTGAATTTAAGACGAAAGACATTTAACATAAAGGCAAACCAGATAAAACCATACTTCCCTGTTTCTGCACCACGAGACGGAGGAGGCAACCATGCAGGTACGCATGTATTAAGGAGCTCTACCTCCCCTTTGCCTTGGGCCTGTGGGGTTTCTGCCCCGATGACGCCCATGAACTAGGCCCTTACGTGAAAATTACCTAAGAAAGGAAAGGGTGCAGCTGTTCATACCATGACCCAAAGAAAGCAAAATTGGAATTGAATTCACATTACCTTCAAATAAAATCACAAGTGAGCAGTAAGAGAGGTGGGATCAACCCTCCCCAGCGCGCACGTGCACGCGCGCGCGCACACACACACACACACACACACACACACACACACACACAACAAGGGTTCTTACTTGTGAGAATGGGAGCTGATTACATCCACTGGCCCGTTGTTCTGATGTGAGGAGGAGCTGGCATTTTGCCTCTGTCTTGTTTTCATGAATTCCATAAGAATGTACTGTGCTTGCTGGAAGGCTATTAGAATCACACCTAACAGAGACAAACTGAGAAAGCAACATGACATTCATTACTGCGCGGTTCCGAATTGCATTTAAAAGACCAGTTTAGTTTTAAGCTGGATGTGGTGCTAAGTGCTGGTAGTCCCAGCTACACGCAAGGCTACACGCAGGACAATCACTTGAAAGTACCCAGGAGTTTGAGGCCAGCCTGGGCAATACAGCGAGACCCCATGTTTAAAAGGAAGGTGGGGAGTGAAAGACTAGTTTTATTATAGAAGGATGATGAATAATCGACGGGACAAAATGGTATTCAAATATCAAGAAACATCACAATATCTGATGTTTCTTAACAGTAAAAATGTGTAAATTTATATAAGGCTGACATGACAGTTCAATTTTAAGCATTATTCTAGGATAAAATCACTTCAAAAGGGTCTTTTGGGTCTTATAATCTCAAATTGTCATTGTGCTGAGCTAATAAGCATTCAGATATTCCACAATGACTGCCAGTGAACATATATGGAGCATGACTATTACGTTGTAAGACCTATGAATCTCTTACAGTTTATTATCTGAAAGCTTACTGGTTATGACCCTGTCTACCTCATGCACATCAGAGTTCTTGAAGCAAGAAAAAGATCACTCAATTCCTATGCTTTGACTGCACTTGGGCAACCTGTATCTTCATGCAGCTGCCCTACAACTTCACTGCTCAGTGAGGGAAGAACAGCGGAGAAGGTGGTGGTCTACCTGACAAAGAAGACCGTGAGCCTCCAAAATGACTCCTCCCAGCTGGGTCCTGGAACCACATCTGCACACAAGGGCAAGAGGTGATGGGGCAGGGTCACATTGAGAGTGAAGTGGAATTCCAAGTCTGCTGCAGTTACAAGTGTCAGCTCACGAATGACCCAGGAAGAGGTAAAGTCCGGCGTAAACCTGATAACAAGTAATTCTCCTTTATGAACTTGTAATGGTTTTAATTTTAATCATAAAGTAAAAAAAAAAAAAAAAATCTCAGAAAATTTCTTACTTTTATAAAACAAATACTTAGCCTAAATCCAACTTAAGAAGTCATAATAATGGAAAAAGTTCACCCCACCCTGTCTCCAGTGTTAAATTCCCACAAAAATGAGATGAAGTTAAAACCCAGCACTTACACAATGCTGATATCACGGGATGTGTTTGGGTTCAGGGAAAACTGATGACAGTCTAGCACTTCGAAGCCATAACCTTGACAATTATATCCATTGATTTTCAGTGAAGACACAGTTATAGGAAGAGGCCCGATATTCTCGACTTTAAAGTTCTTTGTAATAGATAAAATCTGCTTGCTGTCTTTAAGTTCTGATGAAGACAAAAGTTTTATTTCATGTATATGAACAGTGAAATGTATTTAAAATAATTTACTGAATTATTAAATTTAAATGAATTATTAATTAAAATGTGAGAAAAGTCCAACATAAGCTCCAAGTACAATTTTTTATTTTTAGAATCAGAGTTTCTGATCCTGTTATATCTAGGTTCTGTTAATGTAACCAGGATACAATGGAAAATGTTTTTTAAGTTGAACATTTAGCCTAGGTGCCTACATAATTATTAAAAGATTAAGGTTAAAGGTTTATTCTTCTCAGAGCCAAATAGTGTGTATTTACCTCTAGCCATCATGTACCTTGTGTGCCCTGTGATTTTCATTCACACTGAACCCATAGTAAGAGCACATAACATGTGTTTTGTGTAAATTCATCCATTACTAGAAATAGTGAGAACACAATATTAACATGTAATTAAGCCTTTACAAATAAATGAGAGCATATTTTATATATGGAGTTTGAAGAAGTCACAAATTTTAAATAGGGACTATAAATTATCAAGTCTCTTCCACATAAGGACTAATATTTAACTGGATCCATCACTTTTCTATCACTCCTTAATTTAATCACTCGGAGTCAACTCTAAATTACTGAGCAAATGAAAAAATGAATACTTTCAAGGAGAATTTTGAAAACGAAATTGCTAGCAAACCTTTCTGAAGTCAGTGCTCACTTGTAAAACAGTTTTCTTAAAGAAAACAATTCTAATTGAGCAGTGGTAGTGCCAGAAATTATCCAATAGTTTCATCAACCAGATTTCTCTGTAGAAAAGACTGCTACAACTAAAATGCTTTTAGTCTTTTCAAACTTTAAAAAAGTTAATAGGAAAACAATTTACCAGAAACACTTTACATCTACTATTTGTTTGATATCTGTTTTAGTTATTCAGGAAGTCCTCAAAATAAACATAAATGGCTTTAAGGCATTTAACTTAAATGAGTAATTTAGAAATTTCTAGGGCAAATGTCAATATATTTCTTTTCTGGGGGATGCTGAAGATTTAAATATAGGACCTCACTCATACTAAGCTCGTGTCCTGCCACTGAGCTATATGCCTACCCCCTAATATATTCCTAAATAAGCATAGTCTAATATAATAGCCATTAAACACAGGTAGCTAGTCAAACAATTTGAATAAATTTTAAACTACCAGGCATGGTGGCACATGCCTATAATCTCAGCAATTCAGGAGACTGAGGCAGGAGGACTGCCAAGTTCAGGGCCAGCCTCAGGAACTTAGCAAGACTCTGTCTCAAAATAAAAAACTAAAAGGACTGAGAATATAGCTCAGTGGCAAAGTGCCCTGGGTTCAATCCCCAGTACCAAAAATATAATAATAAATTCAAAACTAACTTTGTCAGTCACAGGAGTCATATTTTACTTTTACATGTTTCTTCTCTTTTTGAAAGGAATAGTATTTGTTCAAGCGTAAAGAACAGGAACAGAACTCTTACAGGGGCAAGAGGAGCCCCCCAACAGGGATTGCCCCACGAGCTATATTTTAGGGGCTCATTAACCACATGTGGTCAGTGGCTACTATGTTGAATGACACATATGATTGTGATATCCATTTGTTACTATGGTTTCTGGCTTATAACATCCCTGCTCAAGGAAGGTCAGAGAAATTAGAATTTCTCTTCCCTAAGGCATAGATCTTCCCTATCTTTCGGTCTCTGACCTGGCCATAAAGAAAAGCACTCTCTAATTTATCCTTATCCAACAGTAGGTCCTAAGACCCTCCTCATTCCGGAGGGGTCCTGAGGAGTGCTGAGCCGAGAGGCCACGAAGCAGCTGAGCACACAGACCTTACTGGCCTTCCCCACTAAGCCCACTGACGAGGTCATATCCTTTTTGTCTAAGCAAATTTTGACACCAGTGTCCATGCTTCAATCACGGACGTGCAACAGAGTCTCCACAAAAACACAGGGTTTGGGGAGCTTCTGGATAGCTGAACACAGGCGAAGGGGAAGAGAATGAGCAACATACATGTCAGGAGGGCAAGGCACCCCAACTCTACAGGGACAGAAGTTCCTGCACTCAGGACCCCTCCACACCCCCCGCTCTAAGTATCTCTTCAACTGGCTGCTCTGCCTATATACTTTAAAAACTCCTTTATCACCAACAGCATGGCACTTCCTTGAGTTCTGGGACACACTCTAGCAAGTTAATCTAACCTGAGGAGGGTGTTGTGGGAACCCCAACTGTGGCCAGGCATGTAGAAGCTCCTGAGGCCTGGTCCTGGGGTCTAAAGTAGGGAGTGTCTTGGGAGCTGAGCCCTCAACCTGTGTGATCGGACGCCATCTGATGCAGAATGCTTGCTTGCTGGAGCAGAGAAACCCCACACCTTCTGAGGTCACAGGAGTGACCTGTGGTGGGAACATATGGCAAGAGCCACTGAATTTGAGCTGGTTTTTCCTTCCCTTTCTCCAGCAACCCAGACACAGAATATTCCCATCATCAGGAAAAGTTCTGTTGGTTCTCTCCACTCATCACTGGTCTGATTCTCTTTAGCGAAATTAACAGCCTCATATGTGTATCTTAGCAAATGAAAAATGAACCACATAAAAATAAAAATGTTGTGTCCACTGAAAAACTAAAAAATAAATATTAAAAAATTCTCTAAAAAAAAATTTGAACCTATACTGTTAATTAAACAATATTACTTAAATAACACACTCTTTTCCGCATTCTGTATCTGTTACTTAAGTTGAATACCTCTCATAGCTATTATTTAAGCTAAATATCTGAAGCTACTATTTTGACCTAGGGTACCAGCCTACATATGCTCAAATGTTGGCCTGAATGAATTTACTACACATTTTAAAAATAATCTTCCTATAGCATCCTTTCACTCTCGGCTTTAACACCAGGCCTCCCATCAGACAGCCAAGCATGTGCACTCACGTCGGCGACAGTCCATCAGCGTGGACTCGGGCACCTTAAATCGAAGTGAACCCCCTGCGCCAGGAAGCCTTCCGCCCACTTTCAGTAGTTCTCTTGCTCCGAATCCTTCCACACCAATTATGTCAATAACAGTCAAGTTATTCCTACAGCGAAAGGAGATAAAATTAAAAGGGATTACCTCCCTGTTACCAGGTACAGTGCACTCAAAAAGAATCAACTTAAAGAGCATGGCACCTCCTGCCATCCAACAGAATAAGGGTGGCCACAGGCACAGGAAGCGGCCCAGGGCAGCAGCATCCACAAAGCTGACCACAGCAGGAGTTGGTGAGCAATCATGACTGCTCTCTAGCCACTGGCCACAAATGGAACCTCAGATTTTTTTAATAATAGGCACCAGAGTGGTGATCAGATACCAAAGAGAAATAAATTAGTAGACACAAGTAGTAATAAGTTTAGACAAAATAATGAAAACTATTTACAGGGTGAATTGGGATATTTCATAGTAATTGTGACAAAAAGACATTCTGCCTTAGGGATGAGTCTAAAATAATAAGATGCTATTGTTTCTTTTTATTCCAAGATTTAAGATTTTACCCCACAAACAGCATACATCCAAGTCAAATTCTTATCAAATAGCATTTTCATTAATTGAAACCCTGATTTCTAGGATGAAAAAAATCAAGTGAAAATGATGTTTAAATGATACATACTAAACTGAAAGCCAATATAATGTAGATGCCACAGAAACAAGAAATTGTTTTATTTTTCTAATTATACAAAATAACACTGAAATATCTCAACAAATATTTAACCACTTAAAAGGCTTAAAGTGATGAGGCCTTAGATGATGGATAATATTAATGGAAAAATATTTTGTCTATCAATACAGAAACCACCCAAAGTGAAAGAACTGCTATTAAAAATTTAGACTTTCTTTTTGAGTCTAAGACAGTGAAGTTTATCTCCGCACATCCTATGACCTTAGCTCTTCAACACAAATAAGTTTAAAGCTGTCAAAAGTTGGGGCTGGGGATGTGGCTCAAGCGGTAGCCCGCTCGCCTGGCATGCGTGCGGCCAGGGTTTGATCCTCAGCACCACATACAAACAACGATGTTGTGTCCGCCAATAACTAAAAAATAAATATTTAAAAAATTCTCTCTCTCTCTCTCTTTCTCTCTCCATCACTCTCTCTTTAAAAAAAAAAGCTGTCATAAGTCAACAGGGCATTAAGGAATCCTAGTTAAAAGGCTTAAAAGAACAAATTCTTAAAGTTTATTTTAGCACACTTTCTTTTTGGTAATGTTCACTTGTAGAAGAACAAACTTTAAGTGAAGTTATAAGAATTTTTTTTTTTTTTTGGCCAGTTGATCTGATACTAGAAAAACTTTTTAAAAATCACTAAAATGTTGTTTATTAAAAATGCCATTTGTGTTCGGCTTATCACCAATGCAGAGAGCTTCAACAGAGGTCTGTTATTTACTGTATATATATATATATATATATATATATTTTTTTTTTTAAGATAGAGTGAGAGAGGGGAGAGGGAGAGAGAGAGAGAGAATTTTTTTAATATCGGC